AACAGAATGATGTACTTTACTGTGGTGGTATAACAAGGTAACCATATGACTCACCACACACTCATTTGGATTTTTCTTGTCCTACCACAACCTTGAGGCTCATTTGAAGCAACGCTGGTAGATATATCAAGCAAGACAGAAATTTAACAAACCAGACATACTCAAGAGTCTTTCAGGGCCAAGCACAATAAGTGCAAAAACATTTTGTTCAGTGGTGCAAAGAGAAGTTTAACTAAGTGCTAAGAAGTTCAATTACTTCACTCTCATCTCTCAACAGAGCATTCCAATGAGTAGAGCAGCAGAATAGGTTCCTGCAATTAGGCAAACATGCTTTATTGGTTGCTATGGCATCATATGGTAGTTTATCCTGTTTGTATTTATTATTATTATTATTATTATTATTATTATTATTATTATTATTATTATTATAAGTAGTAGTAGTAATCCAGTAATATCAAACCATTTCTGGCTACCGCAGATTCAGCATGTGCTCTGTCTTATTGTGACTTTCTATATTCAACACTACATAAAAAAGTACAAAATGATCTGCCATAGACCAAAAAGACATCAGCTACAAGCTATATTTCTGGCCTATGAGCTTATAAATGACTGACAAGGATGTCAGTAGGAAAAGCTCTTCACGCAGTTTCTGAAGTAGATCTACGGTAAATCTAGATTTGTTACTATTCTATTTGCTGTAAAGGCACCTCAGATATAGGATGAACTACCATTCACAATCTGCATTGTTATTTATTCATTTTCTTTCAAACATTATTGTAACTATGTTACCATTTTTTAGTTACAATAATATAGTAGTTAATATATAGAGGTGACACTTTTATAGCACATAGTAACTATAGTCAAATAACAGAAGGCATTCTTTATGAACAGCATCACTGAACATGAACACGCTGTATAATGAATAGACTATTGTAGATTGTTCCATATATGAATGTAACCAGCAATTTACCAATTATATTCTTACAGCCACACACACACACACACACACACAAACCCCTTCCAAAACATTCCCAGGAATTACCCGTGCCCCATATGGCTGTGGAAAACAGTGGAGCGGTAAACTGAGCAGGTTTGGGAGGTAGCTAAATCTCCCAGTACTTTCCTCACGCTTGTGAACTTCTTCTCAGGGATTAGGGAGTAAACAGACAGGGTCTGGGAGAAATGTCTCCCTCTACCTCTAACCTATAACCACATGAACTGACTCTGGCAGAGGGGATAGGGCTGGGTCCAAGTGTGTCATGGATCAGTTCTGTCAAGCCCAGAAGAAATATTTAACCCTTTATAATAAAAAATGGTTAAATACAGAAGTATGAATACATATGCATTCTGCCATTCGACAATCAAAGTAGGACGTTTACCTAAATCATATTGTCCATTGTCTTTGCTATGGATGCTATATTTGAACCAGGTCATTGATGACAGATTCAAAAGAACTCAAATAAAGCAAACTATGTCAGTGGATGACTCCTTCCCACGCATGTTAGACATGTTCTGTGCGACCAAGAAGGGAGAGACCAAACAAAGGAGTGCCATGATAGCACCTCAGAGCTAATCTCACAATTACTACTTTACTGCTGCTGTCAGACAAAACACAACAAAAGCTTAGAGCTGTCACGCATATAGCCCTTTAAGTGTGTGTGTATGTGTCTCTTTGGTAATAGCCATGTGGGGTCTGTCTAATCTTGTTCTTTGTTGTCTATTTCTGTTGCAACTTAACTATAAAACACTGACACAATATGATTGAACATTACAAAATACAAAACATATGATATTGCATGTCTCAATGAGAGGAGCATGATACAGTCATTATCAGGGTTTTGTATTACAACAAGGCTGAAGTGCAGGACTGTGGACTTTCTATACTGTATTTATGGGGAGTGCCAACAAAATGTCTTATTTTAATGTAAGATATTGTAAAAGTAGCATCTTTGTCTCACATTATTTGTGTTTTTCCCTCTTGTGCAACTATGATCTTCTGCGTAGACTATATTTGAAACAGTATACCTTTGCATTATTGTATAAATAGACCTCTGTTGTCCTGTAAAAAAGAACTTAGTGCTGGAAATTTCAAAACTTAATTTAAGTTTTCAGTGCTTGTAAATTTGATGCCCTTTATAATGTCAAAATGCTTTGATATTGAGCCTAGAATATGGCAGCTATTCAGTTATTCTAAAAATGTTAAAATGTTGGAGATAAAAATAATCTTTCACTTGTCAACAATACCCTACTGTGCCAGCTTTGTCACTGCACAGTGCACTAATGCAGCGGAAAACTTGTTGCCCCTCCAAAACACTAAGTATCTACTGCATTGTGCGGTCATCTAGTGAAGCTGGATATATTCCACTGACACAGAAGCTGAAGCTAACTGTGTCAGAGAAAGGCTGGGGATGTCACAGGCAATGCCTGGTATTAGCCATATAATGGCCAGGATTTGCTGATAAAACAGGGGCCTCACAGTGGCAGTCTTTAGTGACTTAAGTGGGCCGTTCTTCCATAGCTGCTGGGGCTGTACAGTATATCCATTGCTCTATCTGTCTAACTCATTATGTCTCTTTCAGACGAGCTTTCCCCTCTAGCTTATTTCTCCAAGATGTTAATAGAACAGGTTTTTGATTGATTGATGTGATTGCATGTTTTATGATATTTACAATATGCAGACTTTTAGACCAACAGGTGTACAAAAAGGTGTGTGTGACAGCACAGTATGAGGTCATTTTACATGTTCACAGAATATAAGCTCTGTAATGGGCTTGAGCTAGTAAAGAAAAAAAATATAATGCAATGAATTGTCATAGCAAAAACATGGATGTCATTGATTCAAATGCCTCAGTAAGCCATGGCGTGACGGTGAGCCAGCATGCACAATACTAGGACCCTGAGACTAAAGCAGTTAAATGGAATTCAGCATCTTTAACTTTATACTTTATACTTGTACCTGTGAAAAAGCAGGTTAGTTGCTATGAGCTGATCATAGGTTAAAATGTGAGTAAGGATTATATGAAATTAGAGTAAATGAACAACATGTAGGTACCCCAGACACAAAAACTGTACTTTCTGTAAGTGTGGTATCTTAACATTGTGACTTGATCCTCAGAAACTCTGGGCCTAAAGAACATGAGAAATCCAGTCTAAAGATTACACTCCAGCAAATTAACCTCCCCTGATGCTTGCTATGAATTATCACCACATTACAGCCAGAATGTGAAAGTGAGTACGACTAACATAAGGGGAAATTAAAAAAATAAGAAATAGATGTCCTGAATGATTAGTGGATATCCGGTACTGGAGAACATAATTATTTTTTGTGCAGAGGCAGCTCTTTTTCTATATGTAACTACTGAGTGATATAAAATAATACAGAGATAAGACGTATAAAACCACTACTAAGCTAAGGATACCAAACAGTATGATTTCTAGTTCATGGTGGGTTTATTGTATTTATTTGCTATTACAAGAATTACCAGTTGCATCAGAGAGACAGTGTGTAAATGGGTATTGATGCATTGTATTTTGTGTAGTTTTTAATAATAAAAACTCTCTTTGTTAAAACAGGGTGTTTCCCATCTATTTTTATGTTCTCGCCATATTTAATGTGCCGTCATATGTCTGTCACACAGGAATAAAGCTTAATAAATAAGAGGAAATCTCTTGATCCCAATCTAAATATTGTGAAAAGGCAAGGCAGCACTTTTTGACATTTTTTTCCAGACATGCCTTCATTTGTGTGATGGCATTTACCTCATCTGGCATTTCTCTTGTTTGTCAATTATCTTCATGAAGACTCGTGTCTGACAGAGTTGTTGCAGTGAAGTGATAACAGCAAGAGGTACATAATAGAATAAAATAAAAAATAGCATAGGTATAAAAATGTAAATATAATTTCCCCATTTCCAATGTTAGCTGTCTCTGTCACTATTCAGCTCCATGTCACCAGTACGTAAGTTTCCTATCCATTAGATATCTGCAGAAACTAACAGATGTGTGTGAAACATGACAAGATGGACAGTTGAGACTTTCAAAAATGTGTACAATGCTGTGCTTGTAATTCAGATAGCATGTCCTCCCTGTATCAGTTGCACACTGCTGTGACATCTCCAAAGGTTGTAGAGTTCAAACACAAAAAGAAAAAAAAGGTAGGAGACTTAAGGTCGTCATCGAGAAAGCCTTATGTATCTGCGAGCATGTCCAACATTTATTGATGAGGGTGCCCAGTCACACAACCACCTGTCAAAACTCGTCTTCCTCTTTCTTTTGATCATTATTCTGCTTTCTATTTCTCAAAAACTCTCTTTACTTTGAGATTCTTTGAGATTCTTTGAGAGGAGGAAGGGGGGGTCTAAGCTGTATAACCTGTGATTGATAGCACACATGCAGAGGAGACCAACATAAGAGGAAGAGCAACAATTTATTTTCCATTTTAAATAAAGATGGAAAAGCGGTGGAAACTGCCAAGGGTGTTCATCTGATCTGAATGGAACTTCAATAAAACAAATTCCTTCGACAGCTATTTTAGTTCTTCGCCGAGAGGCATTCCCCAAACAACCTTTTGTCTTCTGTCCTGACAGCCCACAACTGCCATTTTAGCCCTCCTCTTTGGCTCCCTTTTAAATCAATATATAATATTACCAAGGGCGAAATTTGGTAAGCCTGACCACATGAAGCAGATATTTCTCCATGGCTGATGACAGATCCGGCCATTTGGTTCTTGTGTCTTTTACCCCATCCTCTATACAAGGGTATTTAATTCCGTCTCCACATTGATGTCAGGAGCAGAATCACTGTCACTGCCAAGTATGACAGATGCAGAGAGAATTTGTCTTGATGTTACTGCAGATGCTGTGTATATCTATGAATTACACTCGGTATCGTTTTACACAAGTGCACTGAACATTCTGTGGTGTTTCTCCCTTTTGATCAAGTCTGTGATAAACAAGAAAAAAAACAACATAGGAACTTAATCTGAATGAAAATACAGAATCTTTTGCAGATAGAAAATGTCTTTATAAAGTTAGAAGGTATTCAAGGACACAAACAGGAGAAGCTTTTACATGACATAAGACTGCCATCTAGTGGCCAATGAGGCAATTTGCTACAAAGTCAAGCAAGTGAAACATTTGAATTTGAGCACTTTGAGAAAATATACTGCAGATCTGTATGCAAAATATCATTATAATGACACTGAATGTCAATCCATCCTCTTACAAGGCAGACACTTCAGGTTAAGCCTCCTCCTCCCACAGACTGATCTGTGTACGGATGCTAAGAAAAAAAACACAAGGACATTTGTTATATGCATATATATGATATCTGAACAAAGACCTAATATATAATATAAAAAACTGCCACGATTAGATAATAAATCAATTAGCTGATGAACAGAAATGTAATCATCCACTGTTTTGACAGCCGATTAATCAGTTTGAGTCAGTTTAAAAGAAATAAAAAAGCCAGCATTATCTGCTTCTTCACAGTGAATATTTGCTGGTGTCTAAAAAGTGAGTATCTTTTGGTTTTGGACTTTTGGGTGAGCAAAACAAGACATTTGAGTTGGCTAAAAGTGATTAATCAATGTGACAATCTGCAAATTAATCAATGAAAATAATAGTTGCAGCCATAGTAAACAGAGACAATAAATGATACACAGTACATTTATAAAACACATACATTCTTGAAAAATGTGCAATTCTTGATATCTTCCTAAGAATTAATCAAATTCAAAGACTTTCCACTAATCCCACTATAAATGTCACTTCTATATCAGATATTCCATGACGTGTGGGAATACTGCAGAAATATAAAAAGGAGTGAGGGCATTTTGCAAAGATAGCCACTGCAGCAGTTTGACAAACCACTGCTAGTTCAGTGTATTTAGGGAAATACTGTAGGTTGGTAGTGGAGTTCTATGGGATGCTATTATCATTGTGTGAGGAAACTGTTTGATCAAACAGGCCATTCTGATGTGGTTTGTCCTGATTATTGTGCAGTAGACTAGTAAGGAAGTTATAGCTTACTAACTAGCAGCCACAAATAAATCTGATCTTACCTGGTCCCACTTTTCAAAGTTTCAAAGGCATCATTGATTGTATTCAGCGGGAGGTGGTTGGTGATAAACTCATCCAGCTTCAGCTTGCTGTCCATGTAGTTGTCCACCAGTGTAGGGATATCCTGCACACCGTTCCAACCTTTAAGAAGAGGATAACAAACCTAAGTGGACATCAATGAGCCTTAAAGAAAGGCACTTCCTACATGTTTTTCGTGTAGTCTCAATCGTTTTTTTGTCCAGAGTGAATGAAAGGAGCAGCCCCCCTTTGGATTTATTCTTAGATATTATAAATGTGCAGTGCATATCAGATGTTAGTTTGTGATGTGTTTTTGCGCGGGTGGATCAACTGTCGCTGCATAACTTTCTGGATCATTTCCTGTTTGACATTTGACATTCCAGATGTGAGCGTATACTTACTGTACTGTTACACACATATTTAGACTTTATAAAAAAGGCCGCTGTAACATGTCTGGCTGCATTGCATTCTGGTCTAGTTTGTTTGAAGCTACTATGAGCAACCTGCCTCTTCTCAGTGAATTTTTTCCTTGCATGCCTGTTGAACCACAAGTCTTTTCTATTTGATTGTGGATTGCGGACTTTGATCAGATCTCCAGCTGGAACCATCAATGGTTTGGTGTGTCAACAACAATTTTGATGACCAATTTCCTGTTTATGTCATTAATAATTAATTTGCTTTTCTCTGGTTTATACAATTGTAAACTGAATACTTTTTGGTTTGGGACTGTTGACCAGACTAAACACATCACCATAGACCTTGAAGTTATGATGATAGGCATTTTACTATCTTATAACTATCAATATTCTAATCAATAATAAACACAAATAATTTCTTGAAGCCATAATCATCAATCAAAAAAATGTTTACACCGTTTTTATATTTTAGGGTGGATCCTCACTGAATTTTACCTTTCACTTATCACTCAACTTCTCCATCATGCCAATAACCATAAATTGTTACCGAAGCATTATGGATGGTAATTTTTTGTACTTGTTTGTCTTGTATGAACTAATAGCTCTGGTAATTTGGTTTAACTTCACCTCCAAAATAAGTCCCCATCAAGGTGCGTCCCATCAGGATCTTTTCGACTTCAACCTGCATTACTTCTGTCTCCGTCCACCCAGCAATGACACAGATGCCCGAGCCATGTGTTGTAGACTCTAACGCAGCACTCTAGGACAACACAAAGCATCACCTGTCTTAATTAATAGTCCTTTGCAAATATATTTCCAAATTCACACACTTGATGAAACTAGGATGTTAAAAAGCCTTATAATTGCACAATTTTAACTTGTGTAGTTGTAACTTGTGCCACATTTTGTTTTTGCAGAACTTTTCATCGACATGAAGTTTTGAACAAGACTGAGACACCCACCATGACAGCTGGATCTCCAACACACTCCAGAGCGTAGTCCACCCCCCCGCCTGTCATCTCCACCAGGACCTCCTGGATGGGCTTGGTATAAGCATTGGGGTTGACACAGTCAGTGGCTCCAAAAGAACTGGCTTTCTCAAACTTCTCAGGGTTGACGTCAACCCCAATGATCTTTGTCGCCCCAGCAATCTGGCAGCCCATGACGGCGGCCAGTCCGACAGCTCCAAGCCCCAACACGGCACATGAGGAACCCTCCTTAACCTGGATGCAAACAGGAAGTCAGTCGTCCAAAAGCTTATTTACAGCTAACATTTATACGGTACATTTAGACTTTATTTTTCTTAAAATATCCATTATACACATATTATTTGTATATATTCTTATGTAAGGTTGATTTTAGGCTTTCAAGCCTTCTTGGCTTTTATTCATTGTTTGACTGATTTAAAAAGTTAAATAAACTGTAAATAGTATAAATGTAAATTACCCTTTATACTCATTTCGCAATAATGTTCCATTAACTGGAGTATTTTGGAAGAACACATGAAGAATTCGTTGTCATTATTTTAGTTTTAGTCACAGTTTCACTTTGTGTTCGAGAGTTTACCCTTACATTACTATTGATTTGTCCTTTTGCTCAATATTCAGAACAAGTTTTAACATTTTCTACATGCTGTTTTCAAGGGAATGCTCTACTAATCATTTTGGATACAATTTGTATTTTATCTTATCTCTTAAGTTCCCTTTATGCGACTTTCCACAAAACTTTCATTGTTTGGTTTTGTATTAATATTTTAATATGCAAAAAAACACGACTGTCTTTTTAACCAATTAAAACACTTATATGATGCTCATTTTATCTACTGACATCTAGTGGAGAAAACAAATAACTACAGCCCTGACATATGGTAACATTTCATTGGGAAACGACTTACGAAAATGGCAAACACAAACTACAAATGAGATGTTTTCAGATATTTAATGGAATTTGTAATAATAAGCTCATTATTTTTAAAGGGTCTTGTTTGTTAATAAATCTAGATAATTTGTTGCATCTGCATTCCTCTTGTTCTAAGGACAAGGTCCTGATCAGAGTTGATGAGAATTCAAGGTGTGATTTGAATGATTTGCCCGGCAGGTCTGCATCCTCCTACCTTGCCTGTTTTAACGGCAGCACCGTAACCAGTGGAGACACTCCAGCCTAGTAGAAACACTTTGTCCAGCGGTGCATCACGTCTTATCTTTGCAAGTGAAGTATCAGGAACCACAGTGTACTGGGAAAAAGAACTGATGCCGAGGAACTGGTAGACCTGCTGCCCCTTGCAAGATATCCTGCTTGTGCCATCAGCCAATACACCTGCTTGTGTATTTGCCCTAAAAGCCACACAAACAAATGGTGTAAAGTAAGTAAATACATTTAGTTAAGTACTGTACTTTTGTACAATTTTGAAGTGCTTGTACTTTACTTGAGTTTTTCAATTTTATGTTACTTTCAAATTCTACTCCACGACATTTCTGTGGTAAATATTGTACTTTTTACTCAACTTCATTTGTCAGACAGCTATAGTTGCTGTTTTTTTTATCAGATTAACATTTTGTCGTATTGTAATGTCTATGAGTTGTCAGTCGTTCTCCTCTAAACATCTCAGAGTTTTATTCACCTCTTTCAACGAGGTTAAAACTCTCCAGTATTTCACAAAAACGTTTTTTTTAAAAGAATGTGTGTAGCAGAACTTTATTTTTAAATAGTTTCCTACCCCATTAATTATCTCATGACTTCCCATCCTCTGGGGGAGCCAGGGTCCTTGTTGGCGAACCTCTAAACTAAACTCCCCAACTGTATATAAAGTAACTAGCTTCACCTTGACCCGCAACAACAGGAAAATGCTGCTTTGTTATCAGTGTTAAAATTCGAATAATGTAATATATAATAATGTGTCAGTCACAGGGACCATTTTTCTTTTACTTTTGATACTTTCAG